AGAGAGAGAGAGAGAGAGAGAGAGAGAGAGAGAGAGAGAGAGAGAGAGAGAGAGAGAGAGAGAGAGAGTGAGTCACCGGCGCTCACTCGGAAACCGCTGGATCGACAGAAACTCGACGAAGGCGGGCGCCATGCAGACGAACCCGGTCCTCTCGCACCCCCCCAGTGATCTCCCGAGTCGCCCGACGTCGTCGGAAGGTTCTCTTCCATGACGAAACTGGGAAACCTGGCGGCCGGGGCGTCGAACTCGAACTCCTGAGCCGGCGTGCCGACCAGACCTATAGATCGATGTCCTGAGGGTAGTCTCGTCATCTGGATCACCCGAGAGCTCTGGCCAGACTGAATCGCGTCGCTTTCCATATGAGTGGCCGCCTCTAGGACGCCCAGGAAGTCCGCGGGCTACTGCGGTGGACAAGAATGCGCCAGCACCATGGACTCGAGCACAACGCACTTGCGAAACGAGAGGAACCAGAGCCATGGCCACTGGCCGACTCTTTCCTCCCACGCCGCTCGCACAGGGAAGACCGCCTTCGTGCGCGACGTGAATCAAGTACCACTGATCGGCACAGGCCTTCTGCATGGCCCCCAGCTCTGGCTCGCCGACGAGGGCCTGAGCTGCCGCCGTGCCCGCCAGAGCTTGACCCCCCATGCCCCGCAAATTCATCGCGCTGAAGCCCATGGAATCTTCTGGAATCTCTTCCAGAAAAGTAGCCCAGGATCAAGCGGACGTTCCGAAAGAGTCAAACGGGAAACAAGAAACTCTCGGCGGCTGGCATGCTTGACTGTCCCGCGGTTCGCTCAGACTTCAACCTGTCCTCCTTGGAACGACGCGGCTGCTTGCAGCCCTCCCTCCAGCGCCCCTTTTCACCGCAGTTCGTGCATCTCGTTCTCTTCTGCAGATTTGGCTTTACAATCTTTCGGAATCCAGCTGAGTTTGACGAGGGGGCCCACTTCCTGTCGAAGAAATCTCTGTCGACTTTCCGAGCTGCTGTCAACTGCCGTGCCTCCTTCCACGACAATCACTTGGCATCGGCCATCCCGGCGAAGACTCGAAAACCCTCATCCTCGTAAACGTCCTGAGCCTCAAGAGACGTGAGACAAGTAGCAATTTCCTCGGCAGAGAACTCAGTCTCGTAGATGTCCGGCTCTTCCTCGTCCGAGTCATGGGTCTCCTCGGAGATGGCGAAAATCTTCTGATTAGATCCTGCCGAAACCTTCGGCAATATGATTTTGTCCGTCACGTCGAGCTGCAGTAGTGCCCTGCGCGCCGCGTGACACGACGAGCCCCCAGCCATCGACGTCCTCAGGTTGACCTTCATCTGTCCCGGAAGCTGTGACCCTTCCTCGTAAAATCGAGCTCGCACATCATCTGGCAAGCTCAAACCAAACGTCTCCGCGTGAGCGATCTGAGAGTCTCTTCGCAGCACGAGCTCCGTTGGGGTCTCTCCACGCTTGCTGCCATAATTGAATAGTGCGGCGTTCTGCGCTTCTCCCTCTCGATATCCAGGACGTTCTCCGTTCAGGAGCCACGGAAGAGTGATCATGATCTCGACTCCATTGCCCTGGTCAAGCTGTCCCGGGACACCGCGAAACTTCCCCTGCAATCCAATCGGGTAGCCTTCCAAAATCTTCGAAGCCTGAGTCTCCGGAGGAAATCCTGTTCTCTTTGTCCAGGAGGTCAAGTTATGCAGACCAACTTCCACATGTTCAAGTCCTAAAAACGGCGGTGGTCCGGAGAAATTCCTGCTCCTATCTGGTGTCGGTTTCCAGGCTGCACCCCAGTCCGACGAACGGCACCAGTCCTGAGCCCAGGACCACCACTCTGACCACCACCAGTTTCGATCCTGCCATCTGAGCTCACTCCAATCGTTCGGGTCTTCTGCTTCTCCCTGGCCGGCTCCCGCACCTGTCTCCTGATATCCTGGTTGTTCTCCCTCTTCTACTGTCGCTGTGAGCGTGCCTGGTGTTGTCGCCGAGACGCTCCCTTCTCGATACATTGCCTGCCCCTGCTGGTGGCCCACGCTCTGGCTACCATTGATATCGGTGGCCACAGGGGGGGTGGACATGTTTCTTTGCAGCGGAGCGCCCCAACGAGCATGAATCACCTGTGCCCGCCCACAGCGGGCGTAAAGCCTAAAAGGCTATGACAGACACATAGAAGGGGGGAGAGAAGAGGACAGAGAGGACACTGAGTGTGCGTGGATCTGAGTGTGAGTGGATGCGGATGTTAATGAGTACGAGCATGAATAAGTCTCAATGCGGTTGAGGTCTGAATGTGAGTAGGTCTGAGACTGCGCGCGAGACGTTAAGTGCGTCGGAGTGTGAGTGACCCTGGCCAGGGAGGAGAAGGCGAGAAGAGTGAAGGCGAGGCGGAGACGGACGCCTCGCACTAATAACAAGAACACAATACTGAAGGAGATGGGGGATGCAACCTGCACGTTGTGGCAAAACCTGGAACATGTCGGGACGCCTCACGACCACTTTCCAGTTCCCAGCTAAATCTTGGTGTTGGGTCCTGAGTTTGAATCAGCAGCGCCCCGCGCCTCCTCCTCCTCTCCTCTCCTTTCCCCTCCCCTCCCCTCCTCTCCCCTCCTCTCCTCTCCTCTCCTCCTACCTCCTCCCTCTGCCCCATCCTTGCCGATGCCATCCGCATGCAAATTCCGCTACACCCCTCACACGCTTCGTGGCCTCAAAGGGAGCTCCACTGAAGGCCCCCCTGGCTGCGTCCGCATGGCGTCGCCGCACCCATTTCGGTACACCTCTCACACGTGTCGTGGCCCCATAAGGTGGCTCCACCGACGGCCCCCCCAGTGGCTACGTTCGCATGGCATCGCCGCGACCCTTCCTGAACACCCCTCACAAGTGTCGTGGCCCCGTAGGGAGCTCCGCCGAAGGCCCCAGTGGCTGCGTCCGCATGGCATCGCCACACTCATTTCGGAACACACCTCACACGCTTCGTGGCCCCATGGTGAGCTCCGTCGAAGACCTCAGTGGCTGCGTCCACATGGCGCGTCACCGCACTAATGCCAGCGCACCCCTCACACACATCGTGGCCGCATAGGGAGCTCCACCGCACGCCCCAGCATCTGGCCCCGCATGGCAGCACCGCGCCGATGTTGGGACACCCCTCACACGTTTCGTGGCCCCCTGGGGAGCTCCACGCCCCAATGGCAGCGCCCGCATGGCGGCACCGCCCGACTTTGGGGCACCCTTCACACGTAATGTGACCACACAGGGAGCTCCACCACCGGCGCCAGCGCCTGCCCCGCATGACGGCACCGCCCCATTTAGGCACACATCCGAACATGCTTTCGGCCACATGGACAGCTCCCCGTCCTTTCTCTCACCTGCCTTACGGTACTCTCACCTGCACATGGTTGCGTCCTTCGCCAGGATCATATTTGTTTTGTGCAGGGACGGCGGGGGTGCTTTCATGTTCCCCCGCGTGTGCAGGCCCGCCATCCCTCTCAAAAAGAGTGCGAACTGAACTTTGCGGCAAAATCTTGGACCACGCGCGGGCGCCCCACGATCATCGTACATTGTCGACAGGGGATGATGCGGGTGCCAGCGTCTTGTGCGGCTTGCTAATGCTGGGATTCGGGTGCTACTTACGTGGCGGGAGGGCAAGTGGGAGAGAGCGGGACGACCGTCCTTCGGAGGGTAGCTTGACCCCCGTCACCCCACCCCGGGTCTGGACAAGGGGTGCCGCGAGGTTCTAGCATCCCAGACAACTCAAAGTGGCGCCAAAATGGCCCCACAGAGCCCAAGATGACCTGCAAGAGTTGCTGTTCTCTCTCTCTCTCTCTCGTCCCCTCCCTCTCTCTCGCCTAGGGCCTGGGAGTCGAACAACAAACAGGTCCACCTCCTTCCTCATACCCTCATCCTAACCCTCCCCCGACTGTCATCATCCTCAACAGGGAGGCGAGCGAGGGAGGAGCGAGGTGGATCTGTATCGGTGTCCTCCTCCGATCGTTTTGTTTTGTTTTGTTGTTTTGTACTCTCTCTCTCTCTCTCTCTCTCTCTTCGAATGCGCTCGCCAACACCATGTGGGACCCTGAGAACTCGGCGCCCAACACACCCCGAGTCCTCACCATCTGCGCCGCCCGGTGGCTTTCGGGCCAGAGCTCGGGCCTTCGGCGGCCGATCGGGAAGATCCACGCGCCCCCAGAAAGCCCTCGACGAGGCGCAGCTGCTGGAAAGCATCCTGAGGCGAGACGACCTCCAAGCACAAGCGAAAACTCCCCCCCCCCCCTTCTGCCCCTAGTCCTCCCCCCCTCTTGGGCGCCCGCTGGCACAAGGTGAGAATCCACAGAAAACTTGGCACGGAGCATCGCCGGCGGCTGGGCCTCGCCGAGGCGTACGCCCGCTGGGCGCCGAGGCCACAGGGGGCAGCCGCGCGCCCGCGCGCGCGCGCGAGGCAGCCCGCGCGAGGCGACCCGCGCGCTGAGAGTAGACCGAGGGCAGGTGTCTGGAGGCGGCTGGGGGGTCTGCCCTGGACGAGCACCAGCAAGACCAGTCTGGAGGGGACGGGGGGCCTATTTGGCATTCGATGCCCATCTGGAGGAGGCGGACAAGGAGCGAGACCTGTGTGCTGTGGTGCCTCTCGCGCTCTCTAGCGCTCTACCTCAGCCCCCCAGCCGGCTCCAGGGCAGGACGAGGACCAATTTCAGGTAAAACGTTACTTTTCGGGCCATCACTCGGGCCCCCGGCGGCCGATCGGGACAGTGCGGGCCCTGCTGCAAAGCTGTCGACGAAGCGCAGCTGCCGGAAAACATCCCGACGCCAGAAAACCTTCAAGAGCCAGTGAAACTCTCCCCGCGCCCCCGATCGTCACCCCTCTTGGACGCCCCCAGCTAGAGCGCCCCCGAACGCTCAGAGTGCTCTCTGGAGCGTTCATCCATGGAGCGGTTCGTCCTCCTCGGCCTGCTCGCGAAACGAGGCCGCCCGCGGCTCACGCGCGCGCGCGCGCCGGCCGTCGGCCGCGTCGAGCGGCTGCCCGCCCTACAGCCCGTGCTCCCCGAGCACGGCGTCCACCTGCTCCCTGGGGAAGGGGTCTCCACAGATCGGGCTGGCCATGCCGTTCTGGGTGGCCTGGCTGGCGGCCAGCTTGTAGTAGCACGTGGCCACGTCCCGCGCCGCGTCGCGCACCGCGCCGTCCAGGCCGTTCTCCTTCACGTACTCGGGGGTGCCGAACTTGCCCTTGTTGCGCAAGAAGAAGTCCCTGGACAGCCGGAACTGGTACTTCTCCTGGAGTCGGAAGCCTGGGCTCCAGTCGAGGTAGCGCTTGCCGAACGCCCCGGGGCCACGCGACTTGCCAGTGTTGGCCACGGCGCCCCCTTTGGCATCCTCAACGATCAATATCAGGCTGGTGCGGTCCACACCCCAGGCCACGGCCACCGGCTTCATGTACTCCTTGTCGGTGTACTGCCCTGGCTTGGGAAGGATGACCCGCATCTTGAGGCCGGTGTCAGCCTCGACCTGGCCGACCATCTTCTCCAGGTACTCGCGCGTCTCGGGCGTCAGCAAACCCACATTGTCCAGCACGCTGCTCACGGCCCCGTCTGCGGCCCACGCTGACCCCGCGCCGCCCCCAGCGACGTAGGAGGGCGCCAACTATACACCTACACTGATCGTGGCCAGGCCAAGGTCGGTGTACCCAACCCTCCGACTTCGTGTTTTTCGCACCGTCGACCCCGAGAGGCCTGGACCAGTTCCCTGGGACCGTCTTTGCGTCCCGAGTCGTTTCCGTTGACGGTCCTGGGGCCCAGTGAGGGCTCCCGGAAGCTGAAAATGGAAGAGCTCCCTCCACGATCTCTCCGCAGCGGTTAGTTGCGAAGGCGCCCTTGGCACACAGGCGTACACTTGGCGCACTCCGACGACGGCCGGCGCGAGCGCGCCCGCCGCGGCGGCGAGCAGTCCGCGGCGCCCCGGCTGCCGCGCCCCGCCCGGCGGCCCCGCCTCACCCAGCGCGGCCACCGCGCGCGCGCCCGCGCCCAGGAAGGCCTCCGCGGGCGCGCCCGCGGCGCCTGCGGCCCGCAGGCGCCTGCCCGCCGGCGGCAGGCAGGCCAGCAGGAGCGTGGCGGCCAGCAGGCGCCCGGCGGCGCGCCGCCGGCGCGCGAAGGCCGCGGCCGCGGCCGCGCCCAGAGCGCCGCCGCCGCGCATGGCTCTCGCGGCTCGCGCGGGCGGGGCGACTGGGCGGCCTGAGCCAAGAACGGCTACGGCGGAGGGGGGAGGTACAGGGAGGGAGGGTGGAGGGAGGAGGGAGAAGGGAGGGGGGAGGGGGGAGAGGAGGGGGGAGGAGGAGGAGGAGGAGGGAAGAGGAGGGAGCAAGGAGGGAACGAGGAGGGAGGGGGAGGAGGAGGAAGGAGGAAGGAGGAGGGAGGACGGAGGAGCGAGGCGGGAGGAAGGGGGGATGACGGAGGTTGACGATGCACCGCAGGCATCGGCGCGAGCCGATCTCTCTTGATCGCGGCTCTGCGGGGCGGCGCACGTGGGCGCGTGTCAGAATGCCAGCTGCTGCTCTGTAGGGTTTCTGTTGTCTCCCCCCTCTACCAGCGGAATGCCGCGTGCACCCCCCCCCCCCCCAAAAGCCACGATTCCTCGTGCAAGACGAGGGACCCGCGCTCCCGAGGCCACGCCCCGTCGTCAATTAATCGATATGCGTCCCGAGCTTCCAAGACGAACTATGCAGACAACCAAGCACACCACCAAGATGACCCAAGATGCCTCGAATACGTGCCAAGATGCCTCCAAGAGAGCCCAGCAGGGCCACAAGAGGACCTCAGAAGCCAACATCATGGATGTCCCAAACATTTTGAGTGAATTTTGCATTCTTGCCTTTTCGAGCTTCCGTCAGCTCAAGACGGCGCAAGAACCCTCCACAATGGCCCCAAGACTGCCCAAGAGGGTCCAAAGATGGCCCAAGAGGACCCCACGAGGGCCCAAGATGCATCCAAGACGGCCCCAAGACGGCCCACGAGAACCGCCTGTGGGACCCAAGATGACCTTAGAAGGCCCTTTGACTGCCCAAGACGGCACTACGACGGCCCCCAGACACCCAAGATACGGCCAACAGGACCCAAAGACTGCCCCACAGAGCCCCGACACAGCCTAAGATGGTCACAAGACGGCCCAAGAGGGCCACAAGACTGCCCCAGAGGGCCGAAAAGACCCCCAAGACATCCTCTCGGGAGGCCAGGACAGCCACCGAAACGTCCCTATTGGATTACATAGGAGCTCCTCAAAAAGAAAGAACTAAACGCGTCACATATGACGGCCTTCCTCTTCCTCCTCCTCCTCCTCCTCCTCCTCCTCTTCCTTCTTTTCATCCTCCTCCTACTCATTATCCGACTTGTCTCATCCTCGTCGTCGTCAGCATCATCACCATCACCACTATCATGGTCTCCCATACCATCATCATCACCATCACCATCACAATCACCATCACCATCGCCATCGCCATCGCCATCGCCATCGCCATCGCCATCATCATCATCATCATTATCATCATCATCAGCAGCAGCAGCATCAGCATCAGCATCATCATATCATCACCATCACCATCATCATCACCACCAGCATCATCACCATCATCATCAACATCATCATCACCATCATCACCACCACCATCATCATCATTACCACCACCATCACCACCACCACCAGCATCATCATAATCAGCATCATCATCATCAGCATCATCATAATCAGCATCATCATCTTCACCACCACTATCATCATCATCATTATCAGCAGCAACAACATTCAACATCAGCATCAGCATCACCGCGATTCGCGAGGTCACGGCCAGACCCGCACGCGAGATTCCGGCCTATCCAGACAGGCCAAATTCGCGAGGCAACGGCCTCACCCACCTGGTTTGAGCTAGGCCCGGGCATTGTCGGCAACGGTGGTCTCATCGCATCGCATCGTACCACCATCACCACCACCATCACCACCACCACCACCACCATCATCATCATCATCATCATCATCATCATCATCATGACAACCAGTATCGTCATCATCATCAGCATCATCATCACAATCAGCATCATCACCACCAACAGCATCATCATCAGCATCATCAGCATCAGCATCGGCATGAGCATCGACATCAGTATCACCATCATCATCAACGTTATCAGCATCATCGTCATCAACATCATCGTCATCGTCATTCACGTTATCATCGGCATCAGCACCATCATGAGCATCATAATCATCAGCATCAGCATCCATCACCATCACCATCACCATCGTCAACGGTATCATCATCAGCATCATCACCATCATCCTCAGTATCATCATCATGATCATCATCATCATCATCAGCAGCATGATCACCACCACCATCATCACCATCATCACCTCACCAACACCGCCATTACCATCATCACCACCATCATCATCAACATCATCACAACCACCACCACCATCAGCATCATCACCACCACCATCATACGCACCACCATCATCATCATTATCATCATCATCATCATCAACAGCATCGTCATCAGCATCATCATCATATCCATCATCATATCATCATCGCCACCAGCATCATGAGCATCATCAGCAGTATCACCACTAAAACTATCAGCATACTTATCATCATCATCATCATCAGCATCATCATCATCATCGTCATTATCATTCGCGTGAACATCATCCTCATCATCATCACCCCCATCATCATCGCCACCATCATCATCACCACCACCAGTATCATCAGCAACATCAACATCATCAACATCATCATCATCACCAGTACCATCATCATAAATATACTCATCACCTTTTTTCCATCACTATCATACACATCATCAGCCTTGTCATCATAACCCTCAACACCCTCATCACGGCTCCTCAAGACTGGGGGCACGAGGTGTCACACGTGACGGCCTCCTGTGCCTCGTAGAAGAAAGGCCACACAGAGAATGAAGTGCGCTGAGCCTAAAGCTGCGAGCAAGCAGAGCTCTAGCTGCCAAAGCGGCAGCGGGCCACGGGCACGCAAACAGGCTCCACTGACTAGCAAGCAGCCACACACGATGGCTGCAAAGCAGGCGTCACGTAGTGCCGACGCTCAAGAACGGGCGGGGCGGGCGATCCATCAAGTGGGCATAGACACACGTATTTCAACACCGCAACAGAAGCTGCAATGCGCACTACGAGCCTGCACAAAGACGGGAACCAACAACCATACAGGACGGCTGCGCAACGTAAAACGGAAGCATGGATCATGCGGGGCGGGGACGACCCATGAAGAGGGCAGGGGCAATGCAATGAACCTGCAACACCTTATCCTGGCGAAGGACCCAACCATAAGCAGCTGTGGTAAGGCAGTTGTGCATATCGTCTTCGGTGGAGCGTCCTATGGGGCCACGAAGCGTCTGAAGGGGTGTGTCGGAACGAGCGTGGCGTCCAAAGGTGGACGGTGCCTCTGGGTCCTTCGGTGGAGCTCCCTGTGGGACCACGAAGCGTGTGAGGGGTGCCGAAACGGACGTGACGCCACCATGTGGACGGTGCCTCTGGGGCCTTCGGTCGAGCTCCCGATGGGGTCATGAAATGTGTGAAGGGTGCGCCGAAACGGACGTGGCCGAAATGAGTTTGACGTCACCATTTGGACGGTGCCTCTGGGGCCCTCGGTGGAGCTCCCTAATGGGCCACGAAACGTGTGATGGGCGTGCCAAAACGGGCGTGACGCCCACATTTGGACGGTACCTCTGGGGCATTCGGCGGACCCCACGATGGGGCCATGAAATGTATGAGGGGTGCCGAAACGGGTGTGACTCCGACACGTGGACGGTGCCTCTGGGGCCGTCGGTGGAGCTCCCTGTGGGACCAAGAAGCGTGTGAGGGGTGTGCCGAAACAGGCGTGATGCCACCATGTGAACGGTGCCTCTGAAACCTTCGGTGGAGCTCCCGACGGGACCGCAAAACGTGTGAGGGTGTGCCGAAACGGGCGTGACGCCACCGTGTGGACTGGGCCTTCGGTGGAGCTCCCTAGGGGGCCACGAGGCAGGCTTGGGGCAGCGGGAGGAGGGAACGAGACGCGGGGCGCTCTCGCCTTTAAACGAAGACCCGACACCACAACATGGTCGGGAAAAACGGGATCCTAATTGCAAATGGGGTGCGCACCCTGCGGAGGGCACGGGGCGGGGGTTGGGCAACAGGACAGCACCGCTAGCTTAACAAGTCTTCAAAGTACTGCGAGCGGGCACTGTCGTTGACCACAAAGCTCGGACTCCTGAGGACGACATACCCACACATCACAACATCATCTTGTTGCCGTCGGATGCCCGCCTTCGTCCACCTCGACAGCTCCTGTGCCGACCAATCAGTGAGCTTCAACTCCGCTGTGTCACGGGGGCCTCATGCTGCCCTGGGCGCTGCGCTGGGGCTCGTCTACTACTGCGCACCGAAAAAACAACAAATCCACTCCCGCTTGATAGAAACGACATCGCGACTGACCCACTTCCTCTTGACCTCAGGAGTGTCCCAGGTAGGCGACGCCTTTGGTTCCACAACGAGCACTGGTGGGCAACGACTCACCAGGTTGCCCTCCCTCGGGCTCCCAAGCGGGCCGCCCAGCTGTCACGGGATTGCGGCCCCGATGGCGGAGGCGCAGCGCCCCGCACTTGCGCACCCCGCGCGCATCCAGGAACGCCAGGAGGAGCACAAGGGACCCCATGAGAATCGCCACCGGTACATTCACATACATCCGAAAAATCATGGTGCGGCGGCTGAGGAAGCGCACGAACTAACGAAAAAGGTGGTGCACCGTCTGGCGACGGCCTGCGAAGCTGCTTGTCAAGCCGTCCATCAAGAAATGGCAACAAAAACTGGCCCTGCAACGCTTTCGCTAACAACAAGGGCATCCCGAGGCGACGCACGAATACTAGGATCGCGCCAACAGCGGCTGCAGCTGCGCATGGGCTAGCGGCCCGTAGCGCTGATGAGCAGCATCAGGAAAACGATGAGGTGCACGATGACGCCAAGTGTGACGGACCGCATGCCCTCACACGGGCGGCTGCGTCAACCAGCTTGGGACAGCGGCCTAGAGTTACTCGGCCCGCGTTTCCCCACCGCGCTACGGTGGCGCTGTCGGGTTCTGTCAGGCGCGGGCGGAGAACACCTGGACATGGTAGCCTGACCAGCGTGCGTGAGGCTGCGCCGCGGGGGAAGGGCGCGGAAAAGAAAGTAGATGACGGGCCGCTGGCACACGGAGCTTGAACCAAAATGGCTTGAGCCACGAGGTGTGAGGGAGGAGGAGGAGGAGGAGGATCTTAAGGGGAATAATTCATATGAGGGGCTCACAGGATGATGATGATGATGATGATGATGATGATGATGATGATGATGATGATGATGATGATGATGATGATGATGATGATGATGATGATGATGATGATGATGATGACGGTGGTGGTGGTGGTGGTGGTGATGATGATGATGATGATGATGATGATGATGAGAAGGATGATGATGAGGAGGAGGAGGAGGAAGAGGAGGTTCGACGCCCATAAAGGGAGGAGTCAAGGGGATAGAAAAGGAACATTGGGGTGGGGCGCCCATCCGAGGAGAGCTGTTGTTCCCCGCCCGAGGCTGCGATCCACCTCGGACGGCCGACAAAGCACCCCACCCCCCACACTTCACCCGATATATCCCTCAAACTGGGCGTCGCGCCGTGCACGCGCCTCCGCCGTGGCCTCATGGGCTTGAATCCCCATGCGCTAAGCCTCGCTGCGCTCAACGAAACCAAAAACACGGAATATGACCGACAAGTCCTCTCGAGACGGCGACCTTACTGCCAGAAAAGTTGGATTTTTCACCTCGAGACTGGCTCACCTGCGACGGACTCCCCGAAATGACTCGGCCAACGGGCACGACCATCCCCAAAACCACCTCGGGTCGTGCCGGGTGCTTCGAGCTGCTCAAACGGTTCCTCGCGGTCATAGCCTTGCCTCCCGAGAGGTGTCGGAAGCCGAAGCACAACAGACCTCTGAGTCCACGCTGGCCTGGATAACCCGCGGACTGCCAGCACGAACGGCAAAAGAGCAAGGGCTTTGGCTTGCCATCTTCCACTGACGCCTCAAGCGCCTGGTGTTCCTGGATGGGCCACGGGCCCTGGGGCGCAGCCTCTCCAGAGGGTCTGCACCCCGAGCCTTCCGGAGGCTCCTTCGCCCCGCCCTGGGAGGAGGAGGAGGAGGCGGAGGAGGGGGAGGGGGAGGAGGGGGAGCATGAAGAGGAGGAGGCGAGAGGCGGGCCGCCCCAGATCTCGGACGCCGCGATCTCCTCCAGGACAGCGCCCCCTCGCCCCCCCACCCCCACCCCGTGGGCGCCTGCGGGCTCCACCTTGGCCCCGGCCGCGGCGACCAGGGCCTCGCCACCCGCGCGCGGCCCTACCAGCGCTTTGCCCTACCAGCGCTCTGCCAGGCACGGAGGGAGAGAAAGGGGTGGGCACGAGAGGGTGGAAGGGCGGAAAGAGATCGGTGAACCACCTGATTGCTTTGGCTCCCAAGGTGTCCAGCTCCCAAGCCAAGGCTCGGCCCACAGAGGCCAACCGGGGCGTCTGTCGCTGGGAAGTTCTGACGCACCGACCGTTGCTGCAATCATGTATTTACATGCCCTCCCTCTGGAAGGGTTCCGGGAGGACGCCGAGACTGGCAAAACGAATGGTCGGGGACGACTGCGTTGTCGACACACCCCAGGTCGCCTGCCCCTTTCCGATGGCCTGCCTCGCCTCTGCCCGATGATCTGCCAGGCCTCTTCCTGATAATCTACCCCACCTCTCCCCGATGAATTAACCGCGTTTCGCCTCTTCCGTGGCAACCGAGAGCAAGGCGAATAAGATCACCAATCCGATGATCCGCGGCCGATGATCCGTTCCTCCTCTCGCGGCCGACTCCCCCAGGGATCCCAAAGAAGGACGCATGCCCCGAGCCAAATATAGAAATATAAAAACGAGGCCAGAATGAGGATGACTCGGGAATCTCAAAGACTCGGAAAATCTGGAAGATGTATCGGGAGCCATTTCAGAACTTCTCGCAAATTGCAAAAGTTTCCAGAATGCTCTGAGAGCGTTCCGGAACGAGTGGGGCCGACTTCTGCCCATCCTCCAGACACGTGCTAGCATGGATGACAACATTCTCAGTCTTAGCATCAGATACCTAGCATCTATGAATCACATTACCTTCGACGCCAAACCTTGCGATCCGAAGCAGTCGTTGCCACCTCCAAGAAGAACTCCGCATACGTATCCTGCCGTTGGGATGATAGATTGACGAGTATTGACGGGTGTTGCGCTGGAAACAATAATGCACATCCTAGGCCTGCCTGAAATATTCCCCCCAGAGCTCGCGAGGCAGCCCTTCTGTCGCGAAGGCCCACGCAGCGCGCTGTCCCGAACTCCGTTTGACTTCACGTGCGCGAACGTCTCTGCTTCGCTCCCTGCCCCGCGCACGGCCAATTCGCAACCACGCGCCGGCGCGGCGCAGCATCGATGCTGGACCACGCTCGAACTTGGCATCTCCGCCACGCCTCGGCTCCGCCCCCGAGGCCCCCGTCCAGGCGCGAGCCGGTCTCGCTGGGAATCGGTCTCGCCGGGCGAACCCGACCTCGGCGAAACCAATCTCGGCGAGGCCGACCGCGAGCGAAGACATCCACGGGGGCAAGGCCGACCGCGGGCGCCACCGGTCTCCTGCTCTACAAGGCTGCTGCGCGCGCGCGGGCCGTCGCGGCCAGGGCTGCCGCGGACAGGCGCGCGAGGGGTGCCATCGCCTCCTGCGCGGATGCGGCGGCACGAGGAGGGAATGACAGCGAGGCATGCTGTGGTGCCCGAAGTCGGCCACGGGGCCTCGGGACCGTTCGAAGTCGCCCCATTGCCTTACTCGACCTCCATGTCCCTATCCCTGTCCTCGCCGTGCCATTCCCTCTCCTCGGCTTCCTCCTCCGCTCCCGCCTCCGCCTCACCTCTTCGCTGCTCCACCTCCTCTGCGTTCCCTTTCTCCGAACCCCATCCTCTCTCCTCCCCCCTCCCTCCTTATTCCTCACTACTGATTTATCATCATCCTCCTCTTCCTCCTCCTCCTCCTTCTCTTTCGCCCCCTCATCATCATGACTATCATCAGCAGCATCATCACCAACACCCCATCACCACCACCATCATCATCACCATCACCATCACCACCATCACCATCACCATCACCATCACCGTCACCATCACCACCACCATCATCACCATCACCACCACCACCACCTTCATCATCATCATCATCATCATCATCATCATCATCATCAACATCAACATCATCACCACAATCACCATGTCAAACGTCAACCAACACCATTCCTCCGTCTCCTCCTCACCCTTCTTCTTTTATTATCCTCCTTCCATGGCCTCCTCCATGTCGCACCCCCAGGCGAGTCGGCAGAGCAATGCGTGCCAGACGCTTCGCCTGAGTCTACCTCACCACCGATGATCTTGAAACTTTGCTTTCGCAGCGGGTGCGCCAGTGGAGGGAGGGTACCGTCTTCAAATAGGAGTTCTCGCCTCACCGCCGCGCACGTTCGTCTTAAACGCTTGCAATATTTACAAGGATGGAAGAGGGTCGCTTTCAAAATGCGGCGATCGCCTTAGCATCGTGTGCGCTTGCTCTAGAAGGTTTACTTCAAGGGCGGAGCACGAGTCGCCTTGCACCAACGGCAACTGCACAACGAAATGTGCACCACACAAACTTGGAAGTGCCCAACAACGGTCAACGCCACAGCGACCGCGTCGGCCGCGCCAGACTCGCATGCCGCGCTGCGCGCGAGCCTGCGCGCAGCAGCGCGGCCGCACCGATGCGCCGACCAACGCAAAGCAGGCATCACAATCGCCGCGTCACGGGCTTAGCAAACCAACTTACGGGTGGGTATGTGAGAAGATTGCGCGAGCAGCGGAGTTGACAACTCACTTCGAACAAACATTAATGTCACCACGTATATTCCCTTCTGTTTAAAAATGAAATCTACACCCCCCCGGGTTATCCGCACCACTGGGGATGTGCGATTTGCATATAATGTTGCCCCATGGCGAACCCGAAGAAACATATTACCCCCCCCCACCGTTATCTTAGCACCGCAACCAAAAACAGGGGGCGATTTCAGGGGAATGATAACCTTAGCACCGTGCCAAACAGGAAAGTCCGCCCACCCTCGGCTCGCTCTCAACATATGGCATTCGCCTTGGCGCCGCGCACATTCGTTATGCAAAGTGCGAAGGAGCTTCACGGATTGAGGGCGGTTCGGTTTCAGAATCTAGTTTTCGCCCCAGCACCGCGCGCATTCGTTTTTTTTTCTATGCATCTATAAATTAAAAACATGCGCGCGAGCTTCATGAATTGAAGGCGGCCGTTTGTTGTTTATCTAGCTGTCGCCTCGGCGCTGCGCGTATTTTTAAACGTGTACGAACTTCACGGGTTGAGGGCGGTTCGGTTTCAAAAATGCCGTTCTCGCCTTGGCCCCGCGAGCGTTGGTTTTGAATGCATGTGCGCGAGCTTCACGGATTGAAGGCGGCTCGGCTTCAAAATCTAGCTCTCGCCCTGGCGCCGAGGCACATTCGCTCGCATGTTTCAGATGCGCGCGAGATTCACGGATCGAGGGCGGTTCCGTTTTAACATCTAACTCTCGCCTTAGCGCCGCGCGCATTCATTTGTTTAAAGGGTGCACGAGCTTCACGGATTCTATGCGGCTCGGTTTCAGGGTCTAGCTTTCGCCTTAGCGCCGCGCGCATGCGATTCCCAAGTTTGCGCTAGCTGCGCGGATCGAGGGCGGTTCGATTTCAAGATCTAGCTCTCGCCCTAGCGCCGCGCGCATTCGCGCGTTGAAATGTGCGCGAGCATCACGGATTGAAGGCGGTTCGTTTTCAAAATCTTGCCCTCGCCTCGGCGCCGCGCGCACGCGCTTTAAAAAATTGCACGAGCTGGGCGGATCGAGGGCGGTTCGGTCTCAGACTTCAGCTATCGCCTTGGCCCCGCACGCGTGTGCGCGTGTTTCGCAAATCGAAGGCGGCTCGATTTCAAACTCGAGTTTTCGCCTAGGCGCCGCGTGCGTTGGTTTTGACAAATTTGAACAAACTTCGCGGATTGGGGGCGACTCGGTTTCAAACTATGGTTCTCGCCGTAACCCCGCGCTTTATCTATGCGTATATATATATATATGTATATATACAATGTTTTCATAATCGAACTCTCGCCCTAGCGCCGCGCGCGTCGGTTTTGAAAAATGCACGCGAGTTTCTCATGGGTCGAGGGCGGCTCGGTTTCAAACTATGGTTCTCGCCCGAGCGCCGCGCACATTCGCATTCGCTATCAAGATGTGCACGAGCTGCGCGGGTCGAGGCGACTCGGTTGCAACGGCTAGCTCCCGCCTTAGCGCCGCGCGCAATGGTTCTCACAAGTGCACGCGAGCTTGGCGGGGCGCAAGCGGCTCGTTTCCAAAATCTGGCTCTCGCCTCAGTGCCGCGCGCGTTCGCCGCGATAAGTTGAGCGGGTTTCACGGATTGAGGGCTGCTCGCGACGACGGCAACCCCGCCTTCGTCTGAAGGGAAACACGTCTGAGAGCACGGCCGTCTCATGAAGTCCCCAGCACTGAATGCCGTTCCTCGACTAAACACTGAGAGCCTTTCCTCGGCTGGGCGCTGCAAGTCTGCCCCCCTGTCCCCCTTTTCCCCCTCCACGTTCCTCCCCCCCCCTGTACAATTACTCAATATGAATACTACTCTCCCTATTCCCCTGATGGCGTGCTGGGAATATTCGACCCCCCCCCCGCGTACTGTTTTTTTACACACAGGATTCCCGGGAGTTGGTTTTTCGTTTTTTGTTTTGTTGTCATGCTGCTCTCACTGAGGCGCCGGCCTCATTTCTGCTCCCGAATCGTTCCGAATCGTGCTCCCGCTGCAGCGTGGGCCTCATTTTCGGATCGGTGTTTTGCCTCCGTCGTTCAGGATGGCGTTCTCGCCCCAGCGCGGGCCTCTTTCTCGCGCGCCCATCCGCCCGCCACCACCGCGCCGCACCACGCCCCGCCCCGCCGCACGCACACCCACCGCCACTTCCACCCACCAACGCACGCACGCACGCACGCGCACCACCACCGCGCACCGCCACCACCACCGCACTACCCCACCCACCACCACCACGCTACACCGCGTCACACCACATCACACGCGCGCACACACAGACACACACGCACGCACGCACACACACATACACACGCACACACACACACACACGCACACACACAGACAAACACACACACACACACACACCACCGCCACCACCACCACCACCACCGCCATCACGCACGTACGCACCTGGCCCACCACCAAACCACCAAGACGCCACACCACGTCACACCACAGCACACGCGCACACACGCACACACACATACACACCACCACCACAACAACCACAACCACGCACACACGCACGCACGCACGCGCACCACCACCCACTACGCACACGCGCGCGGAGCCACAGGTCCGCCACGACACGCGTCCGCGGATAGAGAAAATCAGCGCCATGGTAAGGGATGGGAGGGAGGGGTAGGATGTCAGATGTCGACGCGAGCGCACCTAACTTGTCTCCACCCCCTCCCCCATCTCCCCACCTCGCCCTTCTCCTGGCCTCGTCGCTGAGAATGTTGCGTTGATTCATTGCAAGTGCCCCGCGCGCTTGCTGAGCGCATTCTTGAAGAACTTGCTCAAATCAGCCGGGCTGAGCCGAGCTCGCAATGGCCTGGCCTCGCCGCTCAGCGCCTCAGCGATCCAGCGCCGACGCCGGCGGATCGCTCTCTCCCGCGAACGCCCGCTGATGCTGCGGTCGCCGGGCGCGAGCGTTTTCGGCCACCTGGCGCCCGAGAGCAAGAGCTACTGATTGTCCTTATGCCACTTCGCCGCCGGGGAGATTTCGAAGCGGCGGGCCCCCCCGCTGACCCGGCTCTCCTCGGCCCCGGGGGCGCCCAGCCGAAGGGTCTCGATCCCTTCTCCCCGCGCGCGCTCGCCGACGCCGCGGTCGTCTGGGTCTGGCATTTTCGAGCGCCTGGAACCTGAGAACAAGAGCTGCTGGTAGTCCCCATGCCTCATCGCCGCCTGGGCGCCCGCGCCGCGGTGGGCCCCCCCCTGCCCCAGCACTCCTCAGCCCCGGGGTCGTCGGGCTGACAGGCCTCGAGCGGCTTTTCACCGCTGGGGGCGCGCGGGCGCCGCGGCGCGCGGAGTTCCGAGCTGGGCCGCGGAATGCTGACTGGCGCCCGTTGCGCCGCTATGCCTGGCGGGGCCCGCGCAGACTTGGCGCGCGCCGGTGCTGACTCGGACGTCAAGTCGCGCGGGCCTTTGAGCTCCGTCTGGGGCCTGACGCGCTGGGGCGGAGAGCGCGGCATTGCTCTGGCTAACTAGTTACCTGGGCCTGCGCGGCTACGGGCAGCGCCCTGCGAGGCCGCGAGACATTCCAAGATAACGGATCGTGCTAGTCTGGGTCTCCCGTAACATTAGCGCGGGTCGTACTAGTCGCACTCAGTAAAAAAGGCACGCAGTAGCATCAACAACCATAAGAGCAATCGTACATATAATCATAACGGAGTCGTGATAGCAATGGAGATACGATCATGAGTGGTCAATAAAAAGATGGCGTTGCTAGTAGTAATACTAAACGGGATGAGAATCGTAAGTGTATACAGTCTAACGATGCAACGCAGCCGTAGCGGTCAAAAACGGTAATAAGTGGTAGCAGGGGGGAGAACGG